AATGTATTTGTCAAGTAGTAAACAGATACATCCACAGCCGGACTTCAGTGTTCCGGTGTTTTCATGGTTGTGTCTACTGTAGATCCTGGCTTACAGGAGTTGCAGCGGTTTTGGGAGGTTGTGGCGGGCTTGTCCCAAAAAAAAGATACATCCACAGACTACAGATCATAAAAAATTTAGTGTTCTGTTTAACTTTTTAAATTTGAAAATACATACAGACAACCTCTACAAACTTCCACATTTATAATATTAGTAGCATAAATAGTAAGATTTTAGTACTATTAACTCGTCGAGTACCGGTTTTGTAGACACAATTATAGAACAATAGGTTGCGGTCACCGGTGACCGCTTGGTGTTTGACAGTTTAAAACTAACCCTATATGATTATGGTCAAATGGTTAAGGTAGCTTTGTATATTTTTTTTATTACTCAATTAGCCAATAATAACAGTCAAAAAATAATCATAGAGTTTCTTGCTTGTTTTTCTCCAATATAAGATAGATTAACAATGCATAATTAGGTAAAAAAAAACAGGCAGAATAATTAAAAGAAATATAGAAAAAAATTTTTGAGCATGTGGTATTTTAATTTTATATGACTTTTGAGGCTTTAGACATGTTAAATAAAAAAAAAATAATCAAGTTTTAAGTCATGTATACCTAAATACTTAAAATAGTATTTTGGAAAGTGCCTTTACTAGAGTTATCTAAATGTTAGTTTTAAAAACTTAGCTGTGAATTAGGGTTTTATAAGTTTAAGCACACATGGTATTTAATGATTTTTATTTCTAAAAAGGTAGGCAGAGATCCAAATTTATTGTTTTTTTTTTATTGGATACCTACAGTGATAGATTACAGACTATAAAAAACAATTAAGTACCTAGAGTATTCTTTGGCTGTATAACTAACTAATTGACTAAACTTTTTAATAAATATATTTTATGCATCACTGAAATTTTAACATTAAGTCTAATTTTATTTAGAGCAAACTCCAACTTAAAAAAACTAAGAATAAGAATATCAATCTACATGAATGTTAAAATGGACAGGTTTACTGAACATTATACTGAATATAGCAAATATTTACAGTACTTCAGCGAAAATATCTTACTATATGTTTCACATGGTATTTATTTGCAGTAATTTGAAGACAGAAGAGAGAAACAAGCAAGAAACACAGAATTAGAATAAAAATTACAAGATATGAACACAAAAAAGTGAATAAAAATAACTTACTTTTTATCTATGAAGGTAGGGGAGAACCAGACTTCAGAAGCGTCGTGGAAAGATTTGGTCATAGCCACCACAGCTGCCGGCAGCCAGTCCTCAGCGACTTCCGTTTTTAACACACAATCTATGTCAATAGTCACATTTTGTGGCAAAACACCATACAGACCGATTTGTTCGAAGATAAACTTCGATTCATCACCCTGCTTTCGAGTTACCACCCAAATCAAATGGGGATTCACGTAGTGAACCACATCCACCTTGTAATATTCGGAATCCATCTTGACTCACTATTTTAAAACTTTATATCCACTTCAACTTCAACAAACAGCACTTTTAAAAACTCTTATCATTTCAAATTACGACCGCCGCCGACTGTTGTCGAATTACGAATGAAGTGAATTTTTTAACCATTCTAGCCGTAGCCGAGCCGAGACTCGCCGCGACGCTCGGTGAATAGAGATGCCCCACCCTTACGCTGGCCGCTCCAATCGATTTTTTTTGTGTTACCAGACGAATGGACGTATGTTAACGTATAATATGGAATTTATTATCGTAAAATTAGCAATACCATGTAAAAGGTGTTCTTTGGCGAAACTAGAATTATTTGAAATAATTTGTAAAATAATTAATGTATTTAAATCGATTAATGTTGCGCTAGAGCGGAACAGCGGCATACCCCCTCTCTGCGGCACTGGGCGGGGCCGTGCCGTTCGGGCGCACGGATTGGGTGTCAGATTTTAAAAGATTAGGAACTTTGAATTTTAGGTTTCGCTTCTAATATTGAAATAATTAGATTTTGTATAAAAGGAATTTTATCGAAAGTTTGACAGATTCGAAGGAGGTTCATAGCATTGGATAGATTTTTTTTTCTTGCTTTTTTTATCCTAAATTCGTATAAAGTTATCGTACTTTTGTGTAGGATAGCACATGATATTACACACATTAGAATTCATTCGTACATCGTACTGATAGAATCGTATATGTATGTACGTAATGTACGATAATCAATCGTACATGGCATCCCTATTGACCTAACCCACGCCACGCCATGTCTGCAAGCGATTTGGAAACGATTTTGTACATATCATTGTCGATCAATAAAATGCAGTGGAAGCGTTTGCATAAATCAAAATTTATTAGATACGTTCCATCAAATTAAAATTTGATTTATGGGTCCATTTCAGCATAACTTCTAAGTCTATTCTGTGGACCTCCTAGTATCTACATAATAATAAAATATTATATTAGAAAGGATTTATTTATGTAATAATCTAAATCTAAATAAGAGTTAGTAACTATCCTTTTGTAGGATCCCTACCTACCTACTATATACATACAATAATACATCATATTATTATTAATTGAATTTTTACAGCGTACAAACAGATTTGGGTTATTAATGAAAATTTAAATGAATGTAATTTATCTTCAGCTATTTTCAATTTTTTTTGGTTAACATTGATGTTTCTGTAGACACCTGTTTTCGAAGATATCTTACCAGCACGTAAGAAGCATTTTGCCTCGAGTTTTTTTAATTGTAACAGCTAAGGAATAAAGGAGTGGAATTCTTTGCCGCAATCTGTTTCCTGAAGTGAGTAATTTGGGTGTTTTTAAGACTCTAGCAGATGGGGTGCTTACGCGCAGGTGAGTTTCATCACCTCCATTACTTATGAAAAGAAAGAAAAGGATGGAGGCTAAAACGTAAAATAAAAAATAACACGTTTTTTGTAAATGTTCACAGTACTTTATTAATCAGCGGAGAAATAATTCTGATAACGAATTAATGTGCAGTGTCTACAGCTATTTCGTGCTTTATTTTTAATATTCATATTGATACTTCTGTGAAGGCTTGATTTTAAAACCTTTATTATAACTTGAAGAGAATCTGCAGAGACACTATTGGATGCTCTTAAGTTCTTTCCATCATCGCACCACCACACAGACGGTAGAGTGCCATCACTTTCAGGATTATACGATTGCTATGACGGAAGAGACTTGGAGTTAGATATAGACGAGGAAAGTGGTGGCTCAACAACAGAGACGCTGGTTCCTGAACATGGGCCACCATCAGGCACAGGCGAAGGAAACGAAGACTCGATAGTGGCTACAAATAATTCTCCTCAGGCAAGGGCTGTCACACCGCCAGGTACAGCCCGAGTTGTTGTGTCACGGCCTACAACACCGTATCAAGCTGGGGAGGAGGAAGAGTACCAGGAAGCGTTAGACGGTTCGTTTAGCACTGAAAATACTGGAGGAGTGCCACCACAACAGCAGGACGGTGGATCTGTACTAACACCACGGTCTAAACGCAATCGTCCTAAAGTGAACTATAAACTGTTCTACTAGAGATAACTTAGTTAGAAACTTATGTTTAGCTATAGCTAGTAAGTAGCTTAGTTTTGGGTTGTATTTGTAAGCTAAGGGGAGGAGTGTTAGGTATGTAGGTGTGCGTGTGCCGACGCACCAATAAGTGCCAACAATAAACGTCAGTGCGTTACTAGCAAGCAGTGGTTTCACTTGTGTCCCCGTATCTAACACCTACCTACATGCGTGAAACGTTTCGTCTCAAGTTCATTAAGTAGAATAGCTAACAGTTGAATTTTTACAAGAGTCTGTGAAGTCTGTCATTCCTAAATTATCTGGGTGTCTTCAAGACCCGAGTGAATAGGTCGTTTATGTTATGTGCTAGCAAGTTTCTTCGTAGGCTACATCATAGCTTACCACCACCACTATCAAACTACGTGTTACCCAGAATTTGGAAAACAATTGTCAAAATTTCTGTAGACGCGTACATTAATTCGTTTTGTAGATAATATAATTATACCCAAATATGTCTTGCACGTGGTATAAGAATAAATGATATATATGCCATGCCGCAGTAAAATAAGGATATCAGGGATTTCACAGAATATGTTAGTATATCATGGATTCCCGTTAGATGTCGAATATTCCTGTTTCTTTTGTCTCTTTTTAATTGGTTTCTAATTTATTTCCATTATTCCCATTTTAATAATAAAATTTATTCCTTTAAAAATGGAAGAATCTAGACTTTTTTTTAATTTATTTATTTATTGTCCTGCAATCTGTCTCTAACGAACATTCAGCACATGGTCAAGAATTTGTCTTGTATGGTCACCAGTCCAGCGACGTGGCTTTTCGTTCTAGCCTTTTGAATGTTGAGTTCATATTCATTAAGTGCATTGCTAGAATGTTTGGATGGTTGTTAAGCCTTTTTCTGTAGGATATCATAGACTGTTTTATCTCTTCTTGAACCGTTCTGATTTTAAGGTCATGGTGTAATTGTTGATTAGTTGTAAACCAAGGAGCATTAGTAATTATCCTCAGCATTTTGGACTGGAACCTCCGGAGTATTTCTATATTAGAATTTCAGGCAGTGCCCCAGAGTTGGATTCTATAGGTCCAGATCGGTTTTAGGATACTCTTTATAACAGTAGTTTGTTTTCGAGTGATAGCTGCGATTTTCCGCTGAGCATCCAATACATTTTCCTCAGTTGAATTCCCAGTGCTTTTCTTTTAATAAAAATATGCTTTTTCCAGGTGAGGCTACGATCCAAATACAGTCCAAGGTATTTCATTTGCTTGAGGTATTTGTTGCTTATTCAGTGTTACCGGGGGACATGTTATTCAATAAAAAAATATTTAGGCATCATAAAGTCTACAGAACGGACTTGGACTTATTCTAAGATGGACCCGAAAACCAAAATTTTATTTGATGGAACGTATCGAAACAGCTCTGGAATAAAAATGCATATGCTTCCACAGCATTTATTGATCGACAATGATACGTGGGTTACAGAAGGCTGAGGAAGGAATGCACGCGAATTATCTGTGAGCGATACACATGCGATAACGTATTAACATACATAGCTGTACGGTAATTTTCAACTTTCTTTCGAATTGAAGGTGAATGTAATTTTCCAGTGTCTTACAATTTCATTCAAATTTATCATAATATCTCAATAACGAAAACAAAAAATGGTTTTAGGTACATACCTACTACTACGGCTCTACAGAACGAGCTTAGAAATGAAAACTATTCCAAAATTTCGTCCAAAATAGACCCATAAAGCAAAATTTTGTTTTAATTTCTCATGTTGATAGTGAATGTGGTATTTTAAGGTAAATACCATTGGTATTAGGTATTAAGCCACTCTCTATCTATGTGATTCCAAGATTAAAATGAATGGTAGCAGCAGCGGCACATAAAAAATATAGTTAATAATGCGAGTGAGCGAGATCTGTACAGTTTCTTATCAGTTATTTCATTTTTAACAAATATTATTTTAATATTTTATTCACCTTTCCTACGGGTATCAGGGTAGAAGATAACTACTGGTGGAAATATTAAACTACTTGTTACTCAGAATTTCCAAAATAATTACCGAAATTACTGTAGCCACGGTGTATTCATTCGAAATGAGATCATGATGATGAACGAAGAAAAGATATGCAAATTATCGAAGTTAGCAAATCATTTCTGAGTCGAATACGCTTACAATATCTTAAGAGAACGATGCTGACAAAAACCGTAAATTCATATTTAATTTCCTTTGTCCGTCCCTATCATATCATTCACTCTTTGAATTGTCATCGTATCAAACGTCAGTTTGTTGACAAGTCGGCAATGATTTCGTGGCTCAAATACAAATTGTGCTAAAAATTAACAAATTTAATCACTTATTTAATGTTATATTTACATTAGAACGTGTGAAAATTAGAGGTAAGCATAGTGGTGGGTCATATTAACTTTATATTTGAATGATAACGACGGTATTGTGAAAATAATTGCGATTAACAGTTGATGTTAATTTACAATGAAGTAAAACTGTTGTTACTTATGTTTACTCTATAACTATACGGTTTTTATTGTTTGGTAACATATTTTTATTGTTATATTTCGCGTCTAACGTGCTAGCGTATTATTTTGAATTGTTATTCTTATGTTAATTGCTGTTTTAAAACACAGTCGCACTAGGGAAGGAATATCAACTTTTTAGTTACTTGGTTGCTGTGATACTGTAAAGAGGTTTAAAAATATGACGAATATTATCTTAAGATTAGGCAAAATGTGTAATTGATGCAATCAAATTTATTAATGCTTGAAATATTAATGAATTTTGTGAATAAACAGATGATAGTTCTAATGCTAGAAGTATTATGGGGGAGCTCTTGAATTACTTAAATATGGCAATTTTAAACACTGTTTTTAAGGTATATGTACCGAAATCCAGTGTTACACTCATTTATATAGTTGGCAATTATTATAATAAAAAGAATATTTATTTATTTTAGACAGCAGGCTGTCATATACATAGTTATAATTTTTATTATATTTATTCTACCGAATATATTTATAAATGAAAGAAGTGAATTTATTTCTGCAAATAGACTACAAGGCAGCACTTTCATACATCAATTTTTCAAGTGAACAATGAGGCTGACTCTTCCTGGCTGACTACTCAGAGAAGAAATCCCGGAACAAACTCGGATATCACATATTTGAATTGTTAATATAACTTCACATATTTTAATCCCATAAAGTGTAGTCTGAGTTGCCCATTTTGTGCACAGTTGGGAGGTTGGGTTGGAAAGGAGAGTATTGGTGAGAATCTTACTCTTTCTCCCGTCTCACCTAGAGCAGGATGAGTCATTAGATGATTTTCGTCCTCACAAAAATATACTAACGCATCTTTTGTAACATTCATGTTTCCCTCACATTTAAGCCCTATACATACCATACTTTAGTTTTTATTTTATTTTAAATTTACTGTTATTGAACCTCTTGAGTATGAATAAATGAGACAATACAAATTACACTGGAGCCCAAATGGTCTCGTACAGTTCAGTTTCAGAGGTATTTCATCCAACATACCTTCTGATTATGATATGACTATGACCTTGTTACATCTAAGGTGATGAAAGAACTCCCTCACAAAGCAATAACCCTATTAACAGCTATTTATAACTCAATCTTAAGATATGAATACGTCCCTGCTCAATGGAAAGTAGCAGAAATTATTGTCATTCCAAAACCTGGGAAGGATCCGGAAAATGTATCATCATATCGACCGATAAGTCTCCTGCCTGTTGCCTCAAAAATAATGGAAATTCTTATCTTAAAACGACTGACTCCAGAGCTTGAGAAGGCCAAATTAATCCCTACTCATCAGTTTGGCTTTCGCAAAGCTCATGGGACAATTGAACAGGTACATCGTTTGGTTGAAAAGATAAACCATGCCTTTGAAAACCAGAAATACTGTTCAGCGGCATTCTTAGACATATCGCAAGCCTTCGATCGTGTGTGGCACGAGGGACTCTTATTTAAAATCCTACAAGCCTTACCAGTCAACATCTATCTCATCATCAAATCATACCTCCAACAACGACACTTCTATGTAAAACATGGAGAAGCCAGAAGTAATCTTTATAAAATCCAAGCAGGTGTTCCTCAGGGCAGCGTAATGGGTCCTATCTTATACCTAATATATACTTTTGACCTACCAACTTCCGACGAGGTCCTCGTAGGGACATTCGCTGATGATACTGCTCTTATTGCTGCACACGACTGTCCCGTGGCAGCGTCTGACATGCTGCAAAAAAGCCTTAATGACGTTTCGGCCTGGTTAAAGGATTGGAGAATAAAAGCTAATGAATCCAAATCTGTACACGTAACTTTCACTCTCAGACATGCATCATGTCCCCCAGTTGTTTTTAATGGCATAACAATTCCTCAGCTGGACGACGTGCGATACTTGGGAATATACTTGGACAAACGATTAACTTGGAAGAAGCATATATTCACTAAAAGGAAAGCTCTAAGTACACAACTTCGAAATCTCTACGGGCTCATGGCACGAAAGTCAAACCTGTCACTAAGCAACAAACTTCTCCTCTACAAAGCTATATTAAAACCAATATGGTCATATGGAGCAGAACTCTGGGGAACGGCAGCCAACTCAAACTTGGACATTTTACAACGCTTCCAATCAAAAATGCTTCGAATGATTGCAAATGCCCCATGGTATATAAGTAATACCCAATTACACCGAGACTTAAAAATAAGACCAGTGAAGGAGGAAGTCATAAACAAACTGAAGTCGTATTCTCGTCGCATAAGGAGTCACCCCAACAAGCTTGCTAGTGAGCTTATGAAGTCTGCCAGCACCTTTAAGCGCATCAAAAGGAGAGCTCCACAGGACCTACTCCTGTCTCAGCAAAAACATCCAACTTGAGGGATGCAATAATTGAAGACGGGTACACCACTGGGCGTTCTCCGTACATGTCACAATACATGAACCTCTTAACCACCAGTTAAATGCCCAACTGGGCAGATTGCAGGGAAATAAGGAGATTTAAAAAAAAAAAAAAAAAAAAAAAAATACCTTCTGATTGTGGAATGAACTCGATACCGAGGTCTTCTTGGTGGGCTACAATATAATTATGTATAGGTTCTTCTTGAAAGGAGTAAATAATTTTATCAACTCGTTGAGTACCGTCATTATAGACACAATTAAAGAACAATAGGTTGCGATCACCGGTGACCTGACGGTGTTTGACAGTTTAAGGTCAATCGGTGGTTCGTCGGTTGGTGTATTTTAATGCCCCAATTGTTGCAAGCGTACATAAGTCACTTACCATCAGGTGGACCATGTGCTTTTCTTGCGACTATCGTGGTATATAAAAAAATATATTATGTCTGCAGAACACGGGTTAATCAATACATAGTATAAAACAAAGTCGCTTTCGCTGTATGTCCGTATGTATGCTTAGTTCTTTAAAACTACGCAACGGATTTTGATGCGGTTTTTTTTTAATAGATAGAGTGATTCTTAAGGAAGGTTTGTATGTATAATACAAGCATATTGCACCCGTGCGAAGCCGGGGCGGGTCACTAGTATACATATATATATAGATTGTTTCGCTTAGTAGCTCTACTCTAATGAATCTATTTATACTATTATCTTACCTGTGTACCATATAACTTAGCTGTATGTAAGACTGTATCTAATTGAAATTAATCTTTTTGTCTTTGACTTGACAGTAGAATACTGTAATTGTCACAAGTGGTTTAAATACCTACACTTATTGACTCACTATCAATTGAAGTGAAGTGGGTGGTAATACTCATACTTACATTCGTAAATACATAAAACATGACATCACGCCTTTATATCCCCAAAGGTGCACATTACGGCACTTAATGCCGCTGTGCAATGTAAAACCCACTTTTCACTATTTATGTTATGAGTCCCATGTAATAAGGGGTGAGCTTATTGCCATATACCGGACATATTTCCAGGCTCCATGCTACTACTAAGATTTTTTTAAAACCCAGTATTACTTTGCCCGTCCCGGGCATCGAACCCGACACCCCTTGCCTGACAGTCGCACTTGCGACCACTCGGCCAATAAGGAAGTCAGTGAGGCAGTAAATATATATATGTATGTATTATTATTATTTCTTTAACTACTTCAGGCATCTAGCCTTGATCAAATCAAAACAAATTGTTTTTTTAAACATAGGTAAATATTACAGCAAAGTATGGGATGTTATGTATCAGTGGCATCCTCTATGTTTGAGCAAAAGCTCAGAGGCGTACAAAGGTACTATCATTAAGCCTAACATTGGCACCTGCATTTCAAATTATAATCAGAAATGTCAAAAGTAATTACACTAGCCCATAAATCCCCAAGCGGTCACCGGTGACCACTTTCCACTAATATTACATTACATTATAGACCTTATTTCTAATGTTTAGAGACTACTTTTGTATGACCAAATTTAGGGGATAGATTTCAACGGGCTAGTATTATAAATGTGAAAGTGACTTTGTTCTTGATGCTTGGTATACAGGCAGGGTAAGGGCTGACTTAGGTGATAGGATACTTTATATCCTGATTAAATGCTCTCATGGTATCCCATGACTTGACTTGTTTTCTGTTCTATCGAACAGGAACCATATTCTATGAGGACTAGGTCGCAGGTAACAGTTGGTAATGTATATAAAATCAAACATAATCAAAATAGGTCAATCAGACAGTATAAGGAGATAATACATCTCCTTATAAATGGCCGGCTTGCCTAAAGGAGTGTTGGAGTGATAACCTTAAGAACTTAAACTCCTAGAAAACAATATAAACTATAAGTAATTTTATGGTTATTGAAAAAAGATTTATTTTTGCAATAAACCTACAATTTCACATACATTCCACACCCAGCCCTCGAACAACAATCTGTGGATTTCTCACATTTTGTGCTACTTGCCCAGCCACTGGGCCAACCATGTCATCTATCAAATCAAAAATTAATACATGACCCTCACATTTTTCAGACCACAATGGGAGTAGCAGTAAGCAGATACTCCGAGTTATCTTCAAATGAGTTGCTGATGAGATTCTGTTCAACAGAGGTCATCTGCCCTAATGATCCGTTCTGGAATCAGCTGCTAGCCTTCAACATCAACCCACCTTCCAGCGCGTAAGTTGAAACAAATTTATTTCCACTAGCTGTTTTCTATTCCCGCGTGGTTTCATGAGCTGCTCGGCGCCTATTGATCTTAGCGTGATGTTTTATAGCCTATAGTCTTCCTCGATAAATGAACTATCCAACACTAAAAGAATTTTCCAAATCGGACCAGTAATTCCTGAGATTAGTGCGTTCAAACGAAAAGACAAACAAACAAACTCAAAAAAATATTCAAGTCAACTAAAAATTGTGTGGTACTCACGTGAATATACTGAGAAAAGCTAAACTAGTTTCGAACCACGCACAGAGGGGTTCTTCCTTATGATGTAGCGTGCGCAGTTTATTTTGTATATCGCACGATAGTTATAGTTATAGGGTGCCGATTTGAATAATTCTTTTCGTGTTGGCCTATAGGCACATCACACTACGATCTAGAAGTCGAGTGGGTGATACTCCGTGGGAGTGACCTGTATTTTGTTTTATTAAATCAGCTAGTAATATGAACAATTGTTATTCGTATGTATATACATATATACATACGAAACCAATTTATTATGATCTTGCTTTGTATGATCCTTCCTTACATTTGACCGTCAGTTTATACTGGTTTTGCATAGCTTAATGTGGTACTGTTAATAATAATTATCAGTAATACGTATATCGCGCGTCCATTTTGTTTTACGAAGTTGTAAAAATATAATGTGTTCAATTATCCCCTGATAAGGCTTACATGCTAGTTAAAGTGTAGTTTTTAAATTGATTGCCTGATTAAATCTAGTATTAGTTACTCACATGATTTTACTTGTTACTCGACGCCTTCATCGATATATGAACTATGTAACATATAAAAAATTAAGTACTTGAATCCAGAGATTAGCTCGTTTAAAGGAACATGTTCTTCAGGTTCATATTGTTATTATATCACTACATAGTATAAAATAAAGTCGCTATCCGCCGTCTGTCTGTCGCGGAGAACCTAACGGGTAACCGGGGCTCCGACTCGACGTGCAGGAGAAGGAACGGGGTGGTTTTTAGTCAGTAAAAGTCTGACACTCCCTCCCGCCTCACCCAGGCGGGAGCAGACTGATGATTTTACCTCCTTTAAAAAAAATCCGCCGTCTGTCTGTCCCTATGTATGCTTAGATCTTTAAAACTACGCAACGGATTTTGATGCTGTTTTCTTTAATAGATAGAGTGATTCTTAAGGAAGGTTTATATGCATAATACATGCATATTGCACCCGTGCGAAGCAGGGGCGGGTCGCTAGTATTATTATATTAACTTCTGTCCTGGACTTCGTACGCACGGTCCCGTTTTTTCCGCTTCCGTTCATGATTTTCGTTAAGAAGTAAAGAAAAAATATTGTTTAAAAAGTATCCTACATCCGTCTCCTGGTTCTAAGCTACCTTCCCAACAATTTCCATCCAAATCGATTAAGTACAAAGTACCAGTAGTAGATTTAAAACCACCCTCAACCAACGAGCATGCATTAAAAAATTGATGACTGTTGATGAAGCGAAAGAGGTATGTAAGAAATTGACGTTCCATAGTCTCTGCCTACCTCCATGAGAGACAGGCGTGAAGTTATGTATGTATGTATTTAGCCGTTATTGAGTTATACATAGTCTAACTAACACTTTCTTTTATATAAGGTCTAACAAAAATAGTGCACAATATTTTAACAGGTGATATAGTACATGATAAGGATTATGTTTACCTAAAAAAAAAATGTAAACAACAACATGTTTAATTAAATTTAGCATCACATTTGCAAAATTGTTGTTGTGTTTTTACGCATAACGCCAGCCGTATGGATGCGCGCGGACGTTTATCTTACGGGTCAACGACCGAGTTTTTCGAATAGGTACATAGGAATAGGTACATATTGCAGGATGGCATAAAAAGCAATTAAAATAATAATTGAATAATTCAATTATAAAAAATAATTGATAAGTTTTTATAAAATATTTTCATAAAAAAATGATATTTATCACATACTAATTGACCTACTAAAATATTGTGCACTATTTTTGTTACACCTTATATATTGTATAGATTAACTAGCTAAGGCCGCACGATTTGACTCGTTGCTCGAGTCCTATTGGTTGTAGCATAATGTTTTGTAGGCTTAAGCATATGCTTACTCAATAAATAATCTATCCAATACAAAAATAATTACTTAATTCGAATCAGTATCTTCGAAATAAACCAACAAAAAAACTCTTATGGCCGGTTCTACCAACCTGCCCTAAACCAATGAGTGTGGGTAAGCCATGCTTCGGCACCAATAGGCCGGCTCGACCGGAGTGATACAACGGCCGAGCAGAAAACCCAAGTGAAACAATGAAATATCGCTCGTGTTGTGTTTCGTCCCCAACAATCCTCATAAGGCCGGTAACGCCCTTGTAACGTCTCTGGTGTTTCATGTGTCCATAGGCGTCGCCGATTGCTTATCATCACATGATCCGCATACTCGTTTACCGGCTTATTCCATAAAAAACAACCATCTCTTAATTAGTACTTTCTTAGCCTGAGGGAGCACCAGAACTAATGCCACTACCTTTACCGTAAGGTGTCGGTTTTATGTTGTTAAACCAAAATGTCGTTAAGTGTCACCTATCTTAGTTTAGAAGTTCCTTAGAAATTAGAGAGGTATTTCAAATTATCTACCCTTACCTAATAATATACAAATTGTAACGAAACCGTTGAAATTATTCCAGTGAGGAGCAGCTCATGTTTGACAGCAGTACGGAAGCGCTCCTCCAGAAGTTTCTCCAGAACAACCCACAGACTGGAAACCTTGGATCCCTGGTGCAGGTCTTCATCACTCGAGCTACGGAGCTGCTGGCGGCACCCAACAGTGACAAGTAAGTGAGAATTATGATTTTTGCGCTTCCTAGGTGGCGCCACTAGCGTATTTGATCCTGTCAGCTTAAATATGTTTTATTTTTGTCTGTGTTTGTTTTACAGTGAATGTTAAGCCACGTGTTTATCATTTCCAATTGACAAATAATTGAATTTAATAGAAAACTCCATGAAGTATGATTTCTATGTGATTAACGTTGACTTATGATAAACTGTCGTAATATTAGCCTTTGTGTACTTATAATAATACTTAATTAAAAAAAAACAAAATATTTAGATTTAATCCACCTTTACACGTATCCCGTTCCTCATCTAACTACAGGCAGAACAGTTACATTATGCGTGCAAGCAGACACTTTAACAATGTTTGTAAGGAATATGACTTCGATCCGTTTACAACTAGTGTGAACTCGGCAAAGAGGTGCTTAAGCCTTAAATTTTTTAAGCAGCACTAGATCTTTAGTTTTTTTTTGTTTTTTTTTTATCGTTTCTCTTGATCTGTTCATAATCATATTGTCTGTACGGTCTGTTTCAATATTTATTTTTTTCATTTACGCTGAATGTATGTATTTTTAATATTGTATAGTACTCACACCATATTAATTAATTTATTTCAAATGTTAAACGTGACGACTTGTTATTGGCTCACTGTTACCTACGCCTATTTTTATTTTTATCCAATTTTATATGCTGTAAGTCCTCCATGAATTATAAATAAATAAATAAATAAATTAATAGTCTAACACCCGAATACTGAAAGGCTACTCAATTTTAAATTGTACTTAAATGTCGTGCTGTCTCTGTCATTTTACAAAGAATTTGATGAGACAGATATATTTAAGCGCGACTTAAAATTTAGGTTGACATTGGAGTACTTCAGTGTAAGCGGCTTACTTACTTACTTACTAAAACGGTTTATGACATAGTATTTTAAGGTCCAGGGTTGCCTGGGAATTCGTAATTATTTCATTTCGACATATCAGATACTATGTTGATAAAATGTATATATTCTTGTCTATTTTTCAGAATTAATATTAATCCACCATAAATAAACTCAATGTGTTCAAAAGATACGACATTTAAAGTCTAATTAAGCATGTCGAGTCCCATATTATATTTCTTACTATTTATTAAACACTACATAGTATAAAATAAAGTCGCTATCTGCTCTCTGTTTATTCCTATCTATGTTAGATCTTTAAAACTACGTAACGGATTTTGATGCGGTTTTTTTAATAGATAGAATGATTTTTAAGGAAGGTTTATATGTATAATACACTAGCTACTTCCGCGCGGTTTCACACGCTCTGTTCTCCTATTGGTCGTAGCGTGATGTTTTATAGCCTATAGCCATCCTCGATAAATGCCCTATCCAACACAAAAATAATTATTCAAATCAGACTTGTATTTACGGAGATTAGCGCGTTCAAACAAACAAACAAAAAAACAAACTCTTCCGCTTTATATAATGTATAAGATAAGATGAATATTGAACCCATCCGAAGCCGGGGCGGGTCGCTAGTCCACCATAAATAAACTCAATGTGTTCAAAAGAAACGACATTTAAAGTCTTATTAAGCATGTCGATTGTCGATTCCAATATTACATTTCTTCCTATTTATTAATTTGTTATATTTCAATCCGTATCGTAACATAAACATCTAACAGTTATGCTTATTTTTAACAGTCTTTACTGAAAGAGAAACGATGGTGGTGACAGCTCCATCTATTATTCTACTAAATAAACTTCTACTTTACCAACAGAGACGTGCTGTATAATATCTAAAGAAATGTATATATTCGCGTTAAGTCAAAAGTGAATTGTCTATCGGTCTGTCTGTCAGCGAAGCTAGATGCTCATTTAGACAGTTTATACTTGTCGAAACTAGCACCAGGTTCAATACTGGCAATGCTAATGTGTCATATTATTTTCTAAGATTATTTAGACGCCAATCACATACGATGAAGGAAAACGTCCGTCCATTATTAAGAAAAATACTATTTATAACTATCGATATGTGAGTGTCACTTTTAATAAATAAAATCCGGGAATTACATTGCATGGTAGTTACCACAATAAGTACAACATAACATTTTTAAATAATAGATTTAATTACACGAATCAAAACATAGATGTCGCTGATCAAAATAAAATATTGAAGCCCTTTGTTCATTAGTGGTCGTCTTCCGGCCGATGATGATGACGTTGATGATGATGCTGATGTTGATGATGATGCTGAAGTCGATGATGATGCTGATGTTGATGATGATGTTAACGCTGACGACGACGGTGATGTTGACGGTAGTGGTAATAGATCATTCGTTGTTTTATTGTAAAGTCTACGTATTTCACTTGATGGCCGATTTTCTGTAACAGAAAAATAAAACAAATATCTTTTTTTTGTTTAAGAAAACACTAGGATGTTCCCCTGGGTCGTGTGTGCGTTTACAAATATAAAATTTCACATGTAGTAGGGGAGCCCACGATGCTAAATTTGGATTTACTCGAGCGTCGTTGGAACTTACTGGATTTTAAAAATATGGTGATAGAAAGAAAAAATGGTTTAGTGACAATTTCTTACACCGGTGGGGGAAGGGGGAATCCACAGATCTTTGAATCTGTTACGCGTAACATTTGTTCTAGTGGTCGAGCGTGTCAGATATTGATAATGTACATGCTTCATGTGTCTTTGATAATAAAAAACTCTTAATCTGCCAGTTTGCAACGAGAACCCTTCAAAATCCCCCCACTCTTGCAAATCAAGTTGGAATGGGCACATTTTTTAAATACACTTCCTTTAGCATGATATTGACCTACCTTCCCTTAATCTGACGAAACTGACTTTATTGAGTCAGACTTTTTTTTTAATTTTTAGTCCCCCCTTTCCAATCAGATCGGATATATGGTGGGTATATTCAACAGGACACTAGTTTTTCCCCATATGTTAATCTGACGCGCTCGAGTAACTACCGAAATCCCTTCATGGGCTCCCCTACTAATGCATATGACACCCAGACCCGGAGCAACAATTTAAGGATCACTAAAGACACTAACGAGTGGTTCTATAAGTACGAGAATCCAACCCACGACAAGTTTACTATTTCGTCAGTGAATATTTATTTAATTTGTTTATGCAATTATTGAAATAAATACATGTTTTAATATTATATTTTTAACAGTATATTATTATGATCTAAGATACAGATTTGTATTTACATCTTAAAATAGAGATCGGTCTTTGTTTATAGATGACACGATAGTCTGATATTTAATTTGGTATATAAAACAACTGGCTAAGATGCTCTCTGCATTATTATATGAAAAATGTAGCCCCACACTAGGATTTTCTCCTGTGTATTCTCGAGGGTTCGCTTACAAACATACAATTTCACACACATATGACCCCTAGATCCGGAACAACAATTCGTGGAACACACAAAGAGTTATATAGTCATAGCTTCAGTGAAATTATACATCTGTTGGGGAATACGGTTTTCGTGCCAATATGTGATACGGTATATGGAGGGTTTTCAGTCAGTAAGTATTTTTTGAGGAGAGAAAATATCAAGACTTCTCCGTTTTGGGTGAGATGAGATGAAGTGTTAAACTCTTACTGACTAAAAACCACCCCGTTCTAACTCCTTCGCCAACCCCGATAACTGGCCTAGTTGTCCGCGGCCCCAATAGCCAATAAGAATCTGACATTACTCTCTGTCTTCTAAAAACGAAAAGTAGAAAATTTACTTACTTGGTCTGTTAAAAAGTACTGGTATAGAATCGCTATCTTCATCGACTACGTTAGTCGAAACTAATAAAAAACACAAGAATAAAATATATAAAATCTTCATTTTAAATATTGTATTTATGAATGGTCTGACCACGTAAACGACGCGATGACTTCTGATCGAAACGTAGCCTCATTCTTACTATGATATGACTAATAGTGCAGGGGATTTCTTTATGTTGTATTCAACATGATTGTGGTATTCCACATGACAATAAAGTTAGCAGAAGTACAAAAAACAAAAAGTACAAAAAAAAAAGACTGCACGGTTGGCGCGGTGGCTGGGCAACTGGCTGCCACGCAATGTGTTGCGGGTTCAATTTCCCGCACGGAACAACTATTTGTGTGATCCACAGATTGTTGTTCCGGGTCTGGGTGTCATGTGTATGTGATATTGTATGTTTGTAAACGCACCCACGAAACAGGAGAAAATCCTAGTGTGGGGCAACGTTTTTTTTTTTAAAAAAAAAAAAATAGAGTGCGAACCGTCATCGCGAAAGGAGGTTCCTCACATAACGTAACATTCATGTTGAATTGAAGCGGTAGATAGAGGTGCGCAATACTGTACAATGTAACATCCAGCTACCCATGTTTTAGCTAAAAATTACAAGTCATTGTTAGATATGTGTTAGACGGTTATCGAAATGCACTAGCGCCATCTGTTACACAATTCTCGAACTATTCGTGTGTGGATTCGAAACATCTTTGACATTTTTAAACATTACTTTAATAATGGGAAATATTTTTATGTTTTATTATATTGACTGCCAATAGTGACAACAGTGCCGATATCAACTTAGTGGCACTTCTGAATATTATTTTGAGTGATTATAATTCTTCCTATAGTAACTTTCCGGGGTTTTCCTGCTTTGTAATGTGCTTATTAATACCATTCGTAGTATTGTTCTTCTATACATAATAATATGTCTCATTAGTTAAAATCAACAGTTAACTAATACTGCCCGTGGCACCCCTCTGTTGGACTTTCAACCTCCTCTTTCTTTCATTAAATGTTGCCCAACATTAGGTCTTTCTCCTGTGTCATGGGTGCGTTTACAAAATTGAAATAAGTTATATTTAATGCCATTTTGGTTATCATCAACATACAACTGACGTCTAATAGTACAAGTAATGAGTTATTTTAGGTGCTAACATAACATAACATCACGCCTTTTATCCCCGAAGGGGTAGACAGAGGTGCACATTATGTACAATGTAACACCTACTTTTCACTATTTATGTTATGAGTCCCATGTAATAGGGGGTGAGCCTATTGCCATATACCGGGCATAATTCCAGACTCCGTGCTACTACTGAGATTTTTTTTAAACTCAGTAATACCTTGCCTGACCCGGGAATCGAACCCGAGACCGCTTGCCCGGCAGTCGCACTTGTGACCACTCGGCCAACGAGGGTGCTGCATCCCGCTGAGTAACTTTTAGTTAAGAATTAGTTTAAAGGAGGTTGGTGAAATTGGCCATAAGTCATGAATGAGTTATTTGTTATTAGACTATAATCTCGTATAGGGCTATAGAATAGATATAATTATGCAAGTTTATGCACATTATGTACAATGTAACACCTGTCTCTGTAAACTAAATTTGAAATCAAATCTATATAGGAATGTAATTTTGGAAGTAGGTACTGTGATTTTTTAATACTCGAATAGATTTGTAAGTGGTAATAATTCAAGCATGATCCTTTTTTAATATTAGATAAAATAATATTGATATCAAATAATCATAACTAAGTGTGGGAGAGCCATGCTTCGGCACGAATGGGCCGGCTCGACCGGAGTGATACCACGGTCTCACAGAAAACCGACGTGAAGCAACGCTTGCGTGTGTTTCGTCGTGTGAGTGAAGTTACCGGAGGCCCAATTACCCTCCCCTTCTCCAATCTCCCCAATCCCTGAATCCCTAACGATCATCAAACTCCTAATCCCCAAAAGGCCGGTAACGCACTTGTAACGCCTCTGGTGTTCCAGGTGTCCATGGGCGACGCCGATTGCTTACCATCAGGTGATCCGTCTGCTCGTTTACCGACTTATGCCATAAAAAAACTAAAGAATCACAAAAAAATACTTTATTTTAATTACAAGAAACAAAACATAGATGTCTTTAAACTACATGAAATAAAAAAGTAAAACTTGCAAGCTACTGCTCTGTGCCAAGTGATTTTTCGTTGATGATGGTAGACTAAAAAGGTGTTTGTTCAGCAGTGAACGTCCCCGGGCTGATGATGATGATTCTTACGTGGTCTCTTGTTTCATATTATACTGTGTACTTCAATTCTTCATCGGTAGTGGTTGGTCAGTAGTTACATAGTATAGATTTCTTATTTGATGTGACGAGAGAAAATGCTGATGAAACACTGTGTTTTCAGAAAAAAAAATTAAACTCAGTTATTATTAGTACAAACATTTATTAACATTGTAAGGCCTGATTTTTCAATCAACCGGTAATGTTATCTGTAGAATAAAACGGTCAGTTTTTAATATGGAAAACTTGTCATTTGTAATTATTCGTCTGATCAAATTTATGTAGCGTTGCAGAATCAGCTCTAATTGTATAAGATTTCGTTCTAATTATTAACATGCACTTAGATGCTCTTGATAGGCATTGCAAATTAATTCCTTGACTGTCGGTAGATAAGCGTTGAAGTTAAATCTTCCGTAAACTCTCAGAAACTAGCCACTTTCGGCCCAAAGACTTCATCTCCCGAATACATCGAGTTACAAGTCACCCTGTATATACATATGCCATATTAACAACAGGGTAGTTGACAGGCAATGAAAATTGAAACTATAAATAGTCCGTCAGTTTGATAATGGAAAAACATTACACACGTACTTTTTTATTTTGTTATAGGTAATGAAAACAATACTGAGATAAAAGGTATTTAAGTTAAGGAGAAGGGGTCACTACGTCACACGTTCCTATCAATAAGACGTAACACCTCATCCCATAATACTTCAAATCAATGTAACGTTGAAAGTACATACACATTACATAACATAAAGAAAGAAGAGAAAGAAAGACAGAAAAAGCATTTATTTGGCACATGGCACACAAACAAAGATTATGAAAAATAAAAAATACAAGTACATACTTACACAAATACATAATATCAAAAGCAAACATAAAAGCATAAAGAAAATAACAAAAATCATCAAAATATAAGAAAATAATGTAGAGGTACATACAATATGAAACAATTGAAATAAGTTTTTGATATAAAGACAAATTAAATACACAAAAAAAAAACACCATAATATAAATACTATAATACTGCGTGTGCACATGCCAAAAGGGCCTCCACCTCAGCATATAGTTGAGCATTCCTGCCCAACGCTGATTTTCAGGTGGCACCCTGCAGTGACTCACGGACGGCGGTACCGCCCGAACATCACGCCTGCACATTCCGGCACTTAATGCCACTGTACAATGTAACACCCACTTTTCACTATTTATGTTATGAGTCCCATGTAATAGTGGGTGAGCATATTGCCATATACCGGGCACATTTCACCAGATTCCGTGCTACTACTGAGATTTTTAAAAACACAGTAATACTTTGTCCGACTCGGGTATCGAACCCGAAACCCCTTGCCCGGCAGTTGCACTTGCAACCACTCGGCCAACGAGGCAGTCGAGAGGCGTTAAAAGTACCTACCTATTGTATATAAAGAAAACATACACGTGTCCAAAGTTTTAACATCATCTAACAAACGGACATTAAAAAAATATTAGGAAACAGCCTTATTTGCCATCTCTAGTGAATGGATTGATGAATATTCGAAACTGGTTGAATTTGATTTTGAGACACAATTTAAAACCTTTCCTCCTTAACTCGTCGAGTACCGGTTTTGTAGACACAATTATAGAACAATAGGTTGCGGTCACCGGTGACCGCTTGGTGTTTGACAGTTTTAGATTTTGTAACTTGATGACATATTAAAGTATTATTGTAAATGCGTGGTTAGTTTATATTTGTTTTTATAGCACATACAGGATTACTGGCGAAAGAATTTCTCTGGGGACTTGAGGGAATGAAAAATAATATGGACGATTGACTAGTAACTGAATAACTGAGTTGTACTTACAATAATTATAGCCGTAGTCATCCAATGGGTTAAATGCCGTAACCAATAAGAAACCCAAGAAAAGAACGTATAAAATCTTCATTTTTATATTAATGTAATGTAGTAAACGAATGGTAGACTTGTGAACGATGCCTCACTTTCTTATAATGTGATCAAAAAATGCAAGTTGGCTTCTTTATATTGAAAAATACACTAGAACACATTGCAATTAAATTAACAGAAGTACATTACAGTCGTATTATTATCGGAAAATAAGGATGCTCCTATCAGGCTAGTCAGTGTAGTGTTTCGAAGTCGCGGAGAACCTAACGGGTAACCGGGGCTCCGGCTCGACGTGCAGGAGAAGGAACGGGGTGGTTTTTAGTCAGTAAGAGTCTGACACTCCCTCCCGCCTCACCCAGGCGGGGGCAGTCATTCGATGATTTTCCCCACTTAAAAAAAAAAAAAAGTCAGTGTAGTGTTGCCCAGCCTATATATTATTAATTTGCAATGTGGCGACTAATTTTTCTTTCTATTGTATACTAGCTACTTGTGCGCGGATTCACCTGCTCGACGATGTTCGACTCCCTTTTTTTTTTATGGCATAAGCCGGTAAACGAGCTGACGGATCACCTGTAAGCAATCGGCGTCGCCCATGCACACCTAGAACACCAAGGTATTACAAGTGCGTTACAGGCCTTATGGGAATTGGAAATTTGAGGATTGTGGAGGATTCGGGGATTGGGGACACTGGAGATTGGGAAGGGAGGTTAATTGGGCCTCTGGTAACCTCACTCACACGACCAAACACAATGCAAGCGATCATGTTGATCTTAGCACGATGTTTTATAGTCTATAGTCCATAAATGGCCTATCCAACACAAAAATAACTTTTTGAGGGATTATCGCGTTCAACCAAACAAATAAACTCTTCAACTTTTTACAGATTATCACATATTTTGCCGGTAACACTGAGTAAATAGTTTATTCTATACTATTTCTTTCTTCTTTCATATTGACTGGTTGGTGCTTCTGAATAATATTTTGTTGAATGATTATACTTGTTCTAGTGGTATTTTTGCAGGATTTTCCTATTTATCTAATTTAAATAATATAACTAAATTAAGTCATCTTTAAAAAAAGACTAGATTATATTCTGTTGAGAAACAAAAAACAGTTTTGATTAAGTGTTTCGTATGGTTAGGTATGCCTAACTTCACGACAAGCTTTCACATCATTTAAATTAAGCATCATCTATGCTCATGCAAACTAAACGTGTACCTATACTAAAATTCAATTGATCGATAGATATCTGCTTGTTAGGTTCATAAGTATACAAGATATTCACTAAAGAAAAACAAAAAAAAAATCTTATAATTCATTTTAATTACAAGAATCAAAACATAGATGTCGTTAAACTACGTAACATAAACGAGTAAGACTTGCAAGGTACTGTTCTGTGCTGAGTTGTTTTTCGTTGATGATGGTAGACTAAAGAGGTGTTTGTTCAGCAGTGGATATCTTCAGGCTGATGATGATGGTTCTTACGTGGTCTCTTGTTCCATATTATAGTGTGTACTTCAATTCTTCATCGGAGGTGGTTTGACAGTAGATTTAAAGTACATATATCTTAATTTATTTTCCGAGTAAAGATGTCGTAGATACCCTGCGTTGATAGAAAAAATAAAGTCAAAATATAATCATTTGTTTTATTACTAAGTGTACAAGGTTTGGTACTATTTTTTAAATAAAGCACTTAGTTGCCTGTGCCTGTGATATGCATTGCAATTGAAGTTGTATAATATATTCATAATAGAATTTATTGTTTTACTAAATTTGTTTTAGGACGCCCGCTTCTCATGCATGACGGTGCGGGTTCGAAACCTACCAACGGCAGGTATCAATGTGACTTTTTCCGAGTTAATATGTACTTTTTAAGCTTCTAAGATTATTCAGACACCACTGACAAACGGTTAAGGAAAACATCGTTGGGAAGCCTGGGCTTATAATTTCTAATTATAAGTCTGTAATCGCCAACCCGCATTGAGCAAGCGTGGTGATTAATGCTCAAACCTTCTCCGTGTGAGTGGGCATTTATAGGGTGTTGATGATGACTAATAATATTTCCGCGTGAGTGAATTGATAATTTTTTATATGGAAGATAATCTACCCAAAAACGCCGAATAAATCACGCACAGGACACATATCTAACACCTAACTGACTGGCGAAATACATCACTGGGAACGCAAAGAAAATGAAAATAAAAAATAAATCAGTAGTTACTGATACAAGTGAATGTATATTGCAAATCGGCTACAAAATAGCACGCTTATACGTCATATAAAAAAAACAAAGGGCCACATTCCTAACTGACTACTGTTAGAAGAAACGCCGAATTAAACCCAGAGGCCCGATATATATAATATATAGAGCCGAATATATGAGACACAATATCTATTATGTCTCATATATCTACAGACAAGAGGTTAATTGATAAATTAGTTGTACTTACAATAATCATGGCCGAAGTCATCGATTGGGTACCGTGCCGCAACCAGTGAGAAACACAAAAATAAGACGTACAAAATCCTCATTTTTGTATTATTATTATTAAAGAATAATATGTCCGTATATACGACGCGATGACTTCTGATCGTAGGTTACAATGTAGCCTCCTTTTCTATGTGATTATTATACAGGGTGATTTATAATTGAACTACTTAACTCACATTAGCTCTAAAACTAAAAAAATAAAAATGAAACGCGCTTGACCGAATTTTCTTACGTTTAGGTACGTTACGTTTAGTTACGTTATGTTTAGTTACCGTGGCCGTCATTTTGAGATTAACATTAAAAGTTAAATATTTTAATAACCGTTCAATTCTTCAATTTTCAAGGTCAGGTCAATTTTTGACAAAAATTTTATTTATTTATTTATTTATTTGTTCATGTACACACAGACAATACACAGAAAAAATATATATAATAACAAAACAGAGGTACATAGGTACTGCATATCCCTTATGGGATTTCTTCCTGCAGCCCTGCGAAAGGAGAAATAAATACGACATATGACACAGTGTGTAACAACAAAAAAAAAACAAACAAGAAGAAGACAATGAAAACTTAAACTGATAATTAAAATTAGATTAACCAAAATAATACAATAAAAACATATAAAATAAATATAAATAAGTACCTATTTATACATACAATATGTAAATAATATATAATACATAATATACATACGATATAACACAATCTGTACTTAATAGGAAAGGTGATAATGTTCCCTCACACATTTTTTAAAGATTGAAATAGACTTAGAGTCACGTATGTTAGGCGGGAGTGCATTCCACAGCCTCACCGCATGAACCGAGAAGGAATAAGAGTAGTGGTCGGTTTTATGGGATACAATTTGGAGATGTGATTTAAGATGTGATCGGGAAAGGGAATCGGGAAGACGAGCAAAGGAAAAACGTTCACGAAGGTAAGAAGGATAAGTAGGATTAAAGAGGATATTGTAGAGAAGACATAAAATGCGAGTGTTCCTGCGAAGGCGGATTGGGAGCCACTTGAGTTTTTTACGAAATTCGGAGATGTGATCATATTTTCTTAGGCCGAAGATGAAACGAATACCGATATTTTGCAATCTCTCAAGCTTATTTAATAGCTCCTCTGTGGCATCCAAATAGCAAGCGTCAGCATAATCGATCAAAGGTTGGATCAATGACTGCACGAGGAGAATCTTTGTTTTTAATGGTAAAAGAGTCTGGAGACGCTTCAGCGAGTGGAAAGAATAGTGGACTTTTCGACTGACCTCACTCACCTGGGAACCCCACGACAGGTACGAATCAATGTGCACGCCCAAATTCTTAGCAGTGTCAGTAAATGGGATCGCAGTTCCATCCAGACGCAAAGAATTAAGGGCAGAGATGTCTAGTGCATTGCGAAAGTATCTACTTCCGATAATCATGGCCTGGGATTTAAGCGGGTTAATTTGTAGGCCGAAGGACCTGGCCCACTCGGCGACCCTGTCCAAGTCACGATTCATCGCATCAATCGCAGTATTAGCCTCCGAAGGACTGAAGTGTTGGTAAAGCTGCAGATCGTCCGCGTAAAGATGGTAATTAGAAGTTATGACCCTGGAAACAGTATTGATAAAAACGGAAAAAAGAATAGGGGAAAGGACGCCACCCTGAGGCACACCAGTAGCAAGGTCACACCAATCGGAAAAGTTTTCATCCAAGCGAACCCGCTGACGGCGGCCCCGTAGGTAGGAGTCGAACCAGGATAAAGAGGAAGGAGAGAGGTTGTTGGCCTTCAGCACCCCCAAAAGGATATCAAAATCCACAGAATTGAAGGCAGAACTGAAGTCCAACAATACAAGAATTGTGAGTGATTTGTTATCCATTGCCCAGCGAATGTCATCAGTCACTTTAAGCAGAGCTGTAACAGTGCTATGACCGGGACGGAAACCAGACTGAAAGGGAGAAATAAGGTTATTAGTCGCTAAATATGAAGAAAGTTGCTTATGAACTAGATGTTCCATAACCTTTGAAAGAAAAGGGAGAATAGAGATAGGTCTATAGTGAGAAAGGGAGGAAGGATTATTGATTTTAGGCAACGGAATAATATGGGCCAACTTCCAGGAGGAGGGAAACGAGCAAGAGAATAGTGAATAGTTGAAAATGTGTGTGAGGATAGGGATTAAAAGATGGAGAATGGGGAAGAACATTCGAGAACATAGATTATCATTACCCACTGCAGAAGATTTAACAGCAAGCAATGACTTTTCTACGTCCTTTTCAGACACACAGCTGAGTTCAAAAGGAGAACAAGAAGGAAGAGATATGCATAGGAGGTGGGATAGGGTGTTAGATTTAGTTGAGCTATCAAGCAAAACTGGGGAGAGCGAGAAATGATTATTTAACGAGGCAAGATCTACACCATTGCAAACTGCAATAGGAGATTTACCGATACCCACAGATCGCAAAAATTTCCAAACATCCGCAGAGTCACGATTGACCAGGTTCTCGTCGAAATAATGCCTTCTAGCGTCCCTACACAGACGATTACAACGATTGCGTAGAACTTTATAATAAGCCAAGTTTTCGTCAGTAGGTCTACGCTTATATTTCTGTTTGGATCTGTCTCTGTGAGCCATAGCATCCTCGATAACAGAAGTGAGCCAGGGTGCTGGATTATGTTTCACTTTCACACGGCGCACCGGCGCATGCCTGTCAAATAAATCAAGCATGATTTTATTAAAAGAGTCGACCTTCGCGTTAGTATCCTCAGTATCAACCACAACTCGCCAGTCAATAAGGCCCACATCGCGCCGCAACGCCTCCAAATCCAATCGCTTATAGCTACGCAGATTCATGAATTGGGATCTCCGTTTAGGTGTCCGGATGCGGTAAGATAAGTAAATAAGGTCGTGGTAAGAGAAAGAAGCAGTCATTTGGCCATGATCGTCTACATGGTTAGGGGACGACACGATCATGAGGTCGAGCCAAGACGGAGGAGAGTTGGGAGAATGGTGAGTTGCTGAAAGAGGAAGTAGGTGAAGATTAAGAGAAGTCATAAGGGATGTGAATCTGCGAGCGCGGGAATCCTGCTTCAGTAGACATGTGTTAAAATCGCCCATGATTATAACATGTTTATAATCAGGACATAGGGTATTGAGGTGAAGGTCAAGATCGTCGAAATAGTTTATGTGGAGATTAGGACTGTACAGAACGGCTACCAAGATCTTATTAAAGTTGATCGAGATCTCAACAAACATAAACTCAGCTGACTCCGAGTAGAGCGATGGGGACACTTTAATGACACGAAACGGTAGGTCGAAGCGAAGGTACATAGCAACCCCACCCCCCCCTTTGCCAGTTCTATCATTGCGCACCAACACAAAGCCCGGAATGAGGTAGTGCGCAGAGAGAAGCGAAGGCTTGAGGAAAGTCTCGGAAATCAGCAAAATGTCGAGATGAGCATTGCTAAAGGACGCCAGAAGATCAGAATAATGGCCAGGAACACTCTGCGCATTAATGTGAGCGATGTTTAGATTTTTAGGATAGAATGAGAACAGATTTGATAATTTGTCGTGTAGAGTAAGCGGATGGGATGCCCCACTGTCAAGTGACTCCGAACACGAAATTCCATTGGCGATGCAAAATTTAAGACAAACTCTTTGATCGATATTTGTGTCCATTATGAAATTCACAATATACATTATATATGATATTTCTGAAACCAGCGCTGTATTTAATATAAATAACAGATGCAACTCAAACTCCGCGCCAAAATGGAAAACAGTTGTGCCAATCTAACAACTACATAAAAACAAAAATTTGAATTTGGAACCATAAACAAATCATCCATTCCCGATACTTTTTTGAGTGAATGTAGGTATATGCGCATCACAACGTACCTATTTATTTAGTTCTGAAAATAAAAATAGAATAAGATCATTATAAATGAAAATACCCGCCTATTGGGTTTTTTCCCACATAAAAACCGGGTTTTTTCCCAAATGGGAAAAAACCTGGGTTTTTTCCCTTTGGGTTTTTTCCCAGTGCCCATCTCTACCGGTAAGGTATTAATGGACAATCCATGACATTAGTATTATGGACTTTATCACGATTATAGTTCCCGTAAGCCGGTTTCAGTCATCACTGGATTGAGAATAGTCATACTGTGCATCAACACACGAATAAAACTAAGAACTCGATATTCTTAAAAAAAAGGTCACCCCATACCCTGATTTTACCCGAGCGTACGGCACATCGCGTTCCGCACGCGCCTCAAAGAGCCATCAGACTACCACAAATGGGGCCCAACAGGAGCGATGCCGATTCGAAGATTCGACCTAACGGGTTACCGGGGTTCCGGCTCGACGTGGAGGAGAAGGAACGGTTTTTAGTCAGTAAGAGTCTGACACTCCCTTCTGCCTCACCTAGGCGATAGCAGTTATTCGACGATTTTCCCCCCTTAAGAAAATACCCTGATTTTCTGTTAAGTCGTGCCTCGTGGCGCATTTACAAACACATAATTTCACTTAAACATCACACCCAGATCCGGAACAATAATTTGTGAATTTCACAAAGACTGTTTTTTCTGTGCGGGAAAAGAACTCTTAACACGTTGCCCAGCCACTGCATTATGTACGATCCATGGATTATGTACGGAATGAAATACTTTCTATTCGTTTATACATTTTTATTTATTATAATTAATAATAACATTTAACATTTAAATTGAAGAAAATTTTAAGTACATTTTATATTTCGATACATGTTTCAAAACATAGATGTCGCTAGTTGACTCATCTATATTTTCATAAAGAGTGTGTAAACTATTTGTTCCTCGATTTTGTTTACACATTGACATAATATAAGCTTCCAGAATCATCCTATTATTTCCTTGTTTTCATTATTTGTGTAGTATTGTGGAAATAAATTGCAAGTAATTGCTGCGGTGGGAAAATGTATGTTTTATCTGAAACCATTCAATTACACTATAATTTTGCTATATTTACTTTTTGATGAAATGATTTGTCGTTTTGAAACGGTCAGGCTCAAATAGGTAATTTTTTAACATATTTGCGTATAAAAACACTATTTTCACCACATTTATGATGACATAGATATATTGAGTTGCTCTTTGGGTGAATTTATAGTTATACATGCAACTACGTAGTGAACTTGCTTTACACAGTAAAATCAAAGGAATCAGAATTTAGTTATCACTACAGTCAGTGGCATAAAACAATGTCACTCTTCGCTGTCTATTTTTATTTTATTCTACTTTTATCTTTAAAACAACTCTGCCCCACACTAGGTTTTTCTCCTGTGTCGTGGGTGCGTTTACAAACATACAAGTTCACATACACATGACACCCAGACCCGCAACAACAATCTGTGGATCACACAAAGAGTTAATCCGTGCGGGAATCGAAGCCGCGCCTCGTTGCGCGGTAGACAGTTACCCAACCAACAACGCGCCAACCGTGCAGTCAAATTTGTCCCTATTATGCAAAGATCTTAAAAACTGCGAAACAGATTTTGATGGTACTCACCAGGGGGAGTGGTAAATAGATATTCGTAATTAAATGTCTTCATCGCCGCATCCAATGAGAAACTCAGGATTAATAATATATATAAAATCTTGATTGTTTTTATAGACATTGTTTTTAATTATAACTTATTGTATTGTAAGGTATACGTGTCAACGTTACCTCGTTTCAATGTATTGTGGCGTTTAATAAGTAATTGAAGATTTAATATACAGCCCTTATTAATATTAATTATTAATAAGATATGATACCTCTGCGATTAATTATTTCAGTAATGTTCCTTAATCGATTATTTACTCATAAGTGCATAGTGTATGCTTAATGCGTCATTAGACAGGTAACTGATAGAAGTACAATTCTGATCGTTACTGTTGACTTGGCCCTCACTGAGTGCCGCGAGTCTGCTGTTACCGTCCCGAGTAGCCTCGTACGAATCGTAGTTAACATTAACGCGATCGAATCGGTGAACAAGTAATGCATAGTAATAAAAAAATTTCATGTTAAACTGTATTCTACCAATCAAGCCCTTTGGTTTTATATCCATATTGGATGATTATTTCTTTTTTATGGGTTAAGCCAGTAAACGATCAACGAGAACGAGCAGACGGATCACCTGATGGTAAGCAATCGGCGCCGCTCATGGACACCTGAAACACCAAAGACATTACATGTGCGTTACCGGCCTTTTGGGGGGATTTAGGGATTGGGGAGAATGGGGAGGGAGGGGGGAGGGTGTTATTGGACCTCCGTACACCTCACTCGCACGACGAAACACAACGCAACGTTGTTTCACATCGGTTTTCTGTGAGGCCATGGTATCGCTCCGATCGAGCCGGCCCATTCGTGCCGAAGCGTGGCTCTCCGTCACTTATAATTTTATATTGTCATCAAGAAGGGTCAGAATCAAGAAGGTTTATATTGTCATTATGAGGTGTGTACCAAATATCAGATCGATGTGTTTTCAGGTAGGGAATAAAATAAATTGTGTTAGTATTTATTATTACTATTAGTTATTTATATTGTTTTTTTTTTGTATATTACATAAGCCTATTTTCGCTGACTCTATATTTAACCCAAAGGTTGACTGGGAGAAAGTGCCATATGGCATTATGTACCTTATTTTGTGTGCATTAAAGAGCCACAAACAAACGGGGCAAAATATAAATACACTTTAAAAAGCCACTCTGTTCCTGCGCAAGGCAACGTGTCGCATTTTATATTCGCTTCCAGAACGAAACAGCTCGTGGAGTCCACTGTCCCAGGTCTGGGAGGGATTTATGAATCTGTATGTTTGTAAATGCATCGTGTAGTCGAATTTGATTGGTAACTTGCTAGTTGGCACTTCTGAACATTACTCTGTTGATTAGCCATACTTCTGCTGGTGTTATCCTCATCGGAATTTCCTGTTTAATAATTATAATCAACATTATTAATATTACATCGATTTGATAGTTACATTGTGCGTGGATTCTATGTTTTTATCTTCATGTTTCATTATATCGAAGGCTAAGAAGCCTGCTTCTCATGCATCGGAGTGTGAGTTCGAAACCTACCAACGGTAGGTACCAATGTGACTTTTTCCGAGTTATATGTACTTTCTAAGATTATCTAGACACCACTGACAAACGGTGAATAATCTAATAATTTCTAGTTATAAGTTTGAAATCGCCAACCCGCATTGAGCAAGCGTCGTGATTAATGCTCAAACCTTCTCCGTGTGAGGAGAGGCTTTGCTCAGCAGTAGGTTATAGGCTGTTGGTAGTTTTCCAACCCACACCCTCATGCATGAGAACCGAGCATCTTAAACCTCCGGGCCCCCACGACATATAATTTGTCATTATTATTAATTTGTGTAGTGGCAGTTATTTACGGAATAAAACGCTTTGTATTATTAAATTAATTTATTATAAAGTTACAATTTTCATCTCTAATTGTGGCTATTTTTAAGTAACTTCATAAATTATATTAATCTGTTAAGTATTTAATTATACGTATCAAAACATAGATGTCCCTAGTATTGAAATTGACTGTTCTTAATGGTTGCTACCGTTTGTATGTGCTCATGTAGATGGCGCTTATGTAGCGTAGTGGCTGTTTATCCCAGGTAGGTATTGCCCAACTATTGTATATTCAATTTTGATATATTAAGTAGAAGAGTATTTGTTGGTTTTCCTTCCTCAAAAAAGATCTTATGCATATATTACTGCCACCTAACGAGCAAAAACGGTAGCTCCGAATTTATATTCCTGCGAGTGATTTCCATAAAAACAGGTTCTGGTCATGTTTATACATGATATGGATTACCAGAATCCTCTCATAGTTTCCTTATCGCTGTTGCATTTACGTTTTTGTAATAAATATCCATTATTTGCTGTGGTGAGAAGGCTTTATGTATGTCTGAAACAAACAAATCAGTATTTATTTATGCGATTAAAACCCTCTTTATTCTGTTTTCTTGGGATATTTTGGTTTCTCCGCTGTGTTATTGGATATTCTCCTCGGTTAAAGTCATTTTTGTATTGTCAATATATGTAACCTACCAAAAAAAAACAATCACATTTTATTCATTAATTTCGTTATATACCTACCTACCGTAGGTGCGTTCCGAATTTTTCTAGCAAATTTTTAAGGCCTAATCATAAATTAACTAAAAATCGCGGGTTACCTACGTGAGTATACCGAGAAAAGCTCTACTAGTTGCGAGCCACAGAGGCTCCGCGACTGCGCATGCTGCTCATGAGGAAGAGCCCCGCCGTAGCTTAATTGGTGGGCTTACACCTGAATACTAAAACGCTAGGGCGAGTGGGGGCAAGATGGAACGGATTTTTAATGAGATGAGCAGAGCAGAAATCCTGTACTAGTGATCGTTTCGACATATCGATACAAATATTTCCTGACTTATGAAGTACCCCTTCGGGGATAAAAGGCCTAATGTTATAATGGTATGTGTTGATAAAATAATTGGATGTTTTATATTATTTAAATAATATACCTTACCTACTAAGACCAAAGCCTGGTTTTTGGTTTTGGAAGAGCATTATTATATATTGCCAATACTTCTGATGCTGGTACACCGGCATTCCCGAACCCATGGAATATTCCTGAGACAATGTAAAAATACACTACTTTTCACAAGTTTGAAAACAGATATATTTTTGAACAATACATAATGATTTCGACTGTTCACGGTCAAAATTACTTGTCAATATTATCTTATTGAAATTAAAATGTCGTGGTGGCCCGGAGGTTTACGACGCCCGCTTCTCATGCATGAGAGTGCTAGTTCGAAACCTACCAACGGCAAGTACCAATGTGACTTTTTCATAGTTATAAGTACTTTCTAAGATTATTTAGACACCACTGACAAACGGTGAGGGAAACATTGCGAGGAAACCTGGGCTTATAATTTCTAATTCAATGAACATATAGCATGCTTTTGTATGAATGACCATGTTTATGTAAATAAATTGTCTTTATCTTTATCTCAAATTATAAGTTTGAAATCGCAAAATCGCCAACCTACATTGAGCAAGCGTGATTAATGCTCAAATCTTTTATTTTATTTTTTACTAGCTTCTGCCCGCGACTTCGTACGCGTAATCCCAATTTTTCCCGTCCCCGTTCGTGATTTTCGGTAAAAAGTAAAAAAAAAATATTGGTTACAAAGTATCCTATGTCGGTCTCCTGGCTCTAAGCTACCTCCCTACCAATTTTCAGCCAAATCTATTCTGCCGTTCTTGAGTTATAAGTGGTGTAACTAACACGACTTTCTTTTATATATATAGATTATTTATTTCTTCTTCACAAAATACAACAGTGAATGGCGGACTTAATGCCTTAAGGCATTCTCTTACAGTCAACCATAGGGAAGTGCAGAGAAATAAAGTGGTTGATGCGAAGCCAGAACACAATTGAAAAAATAAAAAAAAGTTATGTAATATGTATACTACACACATAAATATCTATAGAATAAATATATTAATACAATATTTTATAAATCTGTATAGGCATATACATACCATATAATATATACTACTAAACAAATACTTATATCTTTTCTGTACGAGAAGAGGTCTTTGGTCAGCAGTGGCCACTTATATACTGCTGATGATGATTATTATTTTAAAGTACTTATGTAACCCACTTCCGATAAGATTAGGAACGGAGTGGTGTTTAGTCAGTAAGAGTCTGACACTCCCTCCCGCCTCACCCAGGCGGGAGAAGACATTGGGCAGAAGACCGTATCAAAATCGGTTCTGCCGATCGCGAGATTATCGCGGACACACGCACATACATAAAATTAATAAAAATTAGTTCAATTGAAAAATAAGAAACCTTTCACGGACAACAAAAAAGAAGGTTCACAGTTTGACCTACGTGTATGATTCAATTATTATGTTTTCGGCTTACTCACGTAATAATTTGACGAGGAACTCGACTAGTTTCAAGCTATTCTAGAGATATGCGTGAGAACAATGCAAAGACACGCTTGACTCTCTTGAAACTTACTAAAATAAAATAAAAAAAACAAAACGAAAAAAAGATCTTATAGTCTAACATGGTGCTCACATATACATACTGACAATCCATAAAAATAGTGCTTCGATACAAGAAAAAGGATACTCTTTAATAATAATAATAATAATAATTTGTTTTGTTTTATCAGCGACGTTGATGTTGCCAGATATGTCGACCGAAGTCCGCCAACGTCGCGCTACTTCCCCCAACGTCACTGGCGACATGTATCGCAGGAAATTTTGTCCCCTAGTCTATGATTAAAATATTACTAGCTATTACCCGCGGCTTCGCTCGCGTCACAAAAGGATAAAAAGTAGCCTATGTGATATATACCAATACACACAGCGCCATCTATACCAATACTTGTGTTTTTCCTCGGGATTATCAATTTTTTCCGGGATAAAAAGTACCCTATTATTTAATCCAGACTTCTAACTTTACGTCTGCAAAAATTCAAAGCAATCGGTTCAGTAGTTACGGCGTGAAAGCGGAACAAACAAATAAACTCACTTTCCGATTTATAATATTAGTAAGGATAAATGATTTTATATTCACCATTCAGTCGCCATCGCTTTGCTCCTTTCGTTGTTGAGACACAAAAGAGCATATATAAACCTAGTAAAATATATAATAGTCTCATTGTAATTACTAGCTAGTATTTATTACAGTGTGACGTTTTACAGCCTATACTCTTCCTTGATAAATGCACTATTCGACATAAAAATAATTATTGAAATTGAGCCAGTAGTTTTGGGGATTAGCCCGTTTAAACAAACAACCTCTTCAGTGTTATAAAAGACTAAAGTATAATAAATAAACTCTGTAACACTTTGCTATATATATAAAGTCAAATGAGGATAATCGTTTTGTTTTCTTCGTTATATACATGTGTAAATAATACAGGGTGACTTGTAACTCGATGTATTCTTCTAAGAAGGTGATAATACAATTAATTTCCTACAAAATTAGCCTTGAGGTTGCTAGTCCGAAAATGGTTAGTTTCTGAGATATTCAATATTTTAGGTTTTAGTGAAATAATCCCAAACTAACTACAAAAACATCAATAAATAAAAAGCAACGGTTTGATCAAAGTGATTTTAATCTAAGTTTTAATTTGTTGTCAATACATCAAAAAACACCTTCTATATATATAAAAGAAAGTCGTGTTAGTTACACCACTTATAACTCAAGAACGGCAGAATAGATTTGGCTGAAAATTGGTAGGGAGGTAGCTTATAGCCAGGAGACCGACATAGGATACTTTTTAACCAATTTTTTTTTTTACTTTTTACCGAAAATCACGAACGGGGACGGGAACAAATGGGATTACGCGTACGAAGTCGCGGGCAGAAGCTAGTTCATTAATATAATAGGTACTGGCAGAAATATCATTTGTTTTAAAATAGCATAAATAGTAAGATATCAAATTTTGTTTTGAGTCAATAATTTGGTCAATGGAAAACTGCATTAAGTTTAAAAAACATAGCATAACATTACGCCTTTTATCCCCGAAGGAGTAGGCAGAGGTGCACACAGAAGTAACACCCACTTTTCACTATTTATTTTATGAGTCCCATGTAATAGGGGGTGAGCTTATTGCCAGTTTAAACAAATATTTTAAATATTTAAAATTACACTAAGCATCCAAACTATAAGAAAAACTTCCTTGGTTTATTAGCTACCCAAAAACATTTAATCTTATACTATTATATAAAGCGGAAGTTTGTTTTTTTGTTTGTTTGTTTGTTTGAAAGCGCTAATCTCCGTAACTACAAGTCTGATTTGAATAATTATTTTTATGTTGGATAGCGCATTTATCGAGGATGGCTATAGGCTATAAAACATCACGCTACGACCAATAGGAGCTGAGCAGGGCGTGTGAAACCGCGCGGAAGTAGCTAATTATTCATAAAATTCTCCAAACTCAATTCATAACTTGATGATAAGTAGAGTGTAAAGAAAAACGGGCAATTTAAAAAACAACACTATTTACATAATTTTGTTTTAAAGTGACCTTCCATACTGATGAATCTATGCCCGCACACGCTTCCTTATCTCTGTAACAGTAAATGAATGTATTCTGATTCTTAGATTTTATGACATACATAGAGGTAGTTCGATATAATAAAAGCGTATTAATAAACTCGTACTGTATATGAAGAGAAATGAATCACTGTGATGTCATTTATCTGAACTGAAAAACCAATACAACATGTTTGACCCTGCTTTAAAATAATTCAATTAAAATTGTTAGGTATCCTCACGATGTTTTCTTTAACCGTTTGCCAGTGGTATTTAGATAATCTTAGAAAGTACATATAACTCGGAAAAAGTCAAATTGGTACTTGCCGTTGGTAGATGTCTTCGGAGTCGCGGAGAACCTAACGGGTAACCGGGGCTCCGGCTCGACGTGCAGGAGAAGGAACGGGGTGGTTTTTAGTCAGTAAGAGTCTGACACTCCCTCACGCCTCACCCAGGCGGGAGCAGTAATTCGATGATTTTCCCACCTTTAAAAAAAAAACCCGCACTCTTATGCATGAGAAACGGGCGTGTTAAATCACCGGGCCACCACAACATATATGACATGTAAACGTTGTTATATAAAACGAGTTTATCATGGTCTTGAGTTGCAACACTATCGCCTATTGCATCCGTATTGCGTGGATATTTAATGAACTAAACTGTATTGAGTTTGGCTTTATATTCCGTACTCTGAATGCGAGTTCAACAGCTACGATAAGGGTTGTATAGTTTTGACTTTGACATTGAATAATTATTGAGATTTTATTGGATTGAAATCGCATTGACATTGAGATTGGTTTCAAGAGTAAACATTCAGTCCGGCAGTTGTTTCGTGACTTACTTGACTAAATGTATAGATAGCAGGCGTCCACAGAGGTCCTCCGTGTAATCTGGATCTGTGATCGACCTAGTGAGCTGCTGGGACTCCAGCTCGAAGCAGAAGTAGTAACGGGATGGTCTTTAGTTAGTTAGAGATTTTATCTAGTTCTCAATATAGCTTACGTGGTTTATTTAAGTGTATATTTTACTGATTATTAATAAATAACTTATGTAGGTACAACATTTTATTTCCCTTCAGGGAATAATAAAAGGTGTGATGTATATACAGGGTTACAGGTTAAGTCGACCTAGATCCTTTAAGGGGTTTTAGTTTTCATCATTCCTAGCTGATTTGACCATGAAACACCCCACCCCAAACCAACCCATACTGAGATATTGGATTTTGATTATTTTTTAAATAAAATGAAGATTTTTTGTATAATTGACCCTTTTTTCTGATTTTGTGTCACTAATTCATAGTGTTTTTGCTATTTTTGTGTAGCAGATTAGTTTCTTTATTATTCTCAACACAAAAAAAGCAGGTAACTGAACCAACTGGGTAATAGTCGATGATTGAAAGATTAAAAACTAAACAAATTTGTATAAACATTTTTTTTCTTTTCAAAGAATATTTCAAAAAAAGTCTATGACAGTTATGCTGCAGATGTACTAAATAATATCTATGTTTCTTTATCTATCCAACAAGGTATAACAAGCTAGGGTATTATCACAGTTCTTAGAAAAAACTTTCATAAAAGGGTCCCAGGTAGTAGCAAAAAATTACGGTACTATTGTCCTTCGATGGAGCTGTGGTGGCTGTGGTGCGTGCAAGCAGGACGGTTTATGTAGGTGTGAGCGAGATAGATAATTTTCGGCCATTTTGTTGTTATTCTGTTTGGTTTTAGTAGTCTGCTTACGCGATTCGTCCGTAGTAGATGTGATACTTGTGCTCTTGGATTCTTACTCGACTTGGCTTGTGTTTCTGGACTGTTTCCCCTTCGATTTGTGACTGTGCTTGTTAACTGGACTTTGATACGTGCTTCTGATTTGGAACTGTTGACGATGACGACCTTCACGAACGAGGAATATGCGGATATTTTAATTTGTTACGGGTACTGCAAC